AAATAGAAGGCCAGAAACATCAATTGGTTGCTTCTCCCACACCCTCACTGGGGACCTGGCCCGTGCAACCCAGGTATGTGCCCTGACTGGGAATTGAACTGGCAACCTTTCAGTTCACAGGTCGACACTCAATCCACTGAGCCATACCAGCCATAGCAAAAAACACATATTTTTAATTCAACATTAAACATCACTAAGAAAATGCTACTTATTATAAATAAGTAAAGGTCCTAGTAAAAATACCATACCTTGCCACATTGCTTGTAAGCAATTCCCTTTTGGTTACAGTATTCATAGATGAGGGCTGCGCCTTGCACACATAATTTAGCTTTCAGAGATTCAGGTTTATAATAAATTCCACTATGTATGACACCACTGTTATGTCCAGTCTGGTGAACAGCTACCAAACAAGAGAAAACAGGATAAAACAAAGTATGTGACTTACAAAACCTAAGAACTGGGGAAACAAACATTGTTGAAGCTACCAGAGACCACATTTTTAAAAATTCTGACAGTCAGAGCACTGGTACCTTCCTCTAGCAGCCATCCCTGGTGCCTGTGTCATCCCTCTAACCCATCTTTGATTTCAGTCACATACTCGCCTCTCACTACCAGCAAACCACTTCAAGGACCCACTATAACTCTCTCCATTCTGCCCCTGGGCCTATTCTAATGTGGGGAAGGAGAACTCAACACCCCTAGGGGCAATCCCCAACCAGTAGAGGCAGGAGCTAATGGGAAAACAAGGATGATCCTGGGAAGTGTTCGGGTAGTTCCTCAGAGGTCCCAGTGGAATCAAGCTCACATCAGCAACTTGAATAATGTACCTTCCTGTGGTTCTTCCTCCTCCTGTTTACTACCCCCACCACCTCACTCCTGTCTCCTAGGTAACCTCTCAAATAAATCACCTACAACCAAGTCCTAGTCCCGGAATCTGCTTTATGGGAACTCAAACTAATGGACTAATACCAACACTCAGCATAACAAATACAGAATAGACAAAATGAGCAAGTAAGCCCAAAGGGCAACACTGATAACATACATACCTAAATCTTTCTCCTTTTCCAGAACACCAATGGAAAGTGCTGGATATCGCAGGATGAGGGCTCGGGCAGAGGCAAGCCCCACAATTCCGCCACCAATGATGACTACATCGAATGAGCTTTAAGAGAAAGTCACCTTTAGCATCTTTACAGTGGACCTTACCAAACTTCATATGCAAAATTTTCATCATCTATGGACAATTAATTAAACTGTTAATTTATAATCATTAAAAACAAGTATTTGCCCTAGCTGGTGTGGATCAGTGGACTGAACACCAGCCTGGAAGTTGAAAGATCGCTGGTCTGATTCCCAGTCAGGGCACATGCCTGGGTTGCAGGCTGTGTCCCCAGTTAGGGGAGGGTGAGGGGCAACTGACTGATCCATCTCTCACACATAAATGTTTTCTCTCCCTTTTTTTCTTTCTTTCTCCCTCTCTTCTCCTCTCTCTAAAAATAAGTGAATAAAATTTTAAAAAACCACAAATATTTCTTGGGTTTTGTGCTATTTGGCTTCCCACTCATGAAGAAACCTTTAAAAGTTACACGCATGGCTGGTCAGTACTATAATCATCTACACCCAGCAGGCAGGGTGGCTAGTAAACCAAGCTGCTCTAAATCTCCGCAGCACTCTGCCCGGGCTAGCTGCTTGTGTTAGGCATCACACTCTTCTCTACCACCTGTTCTTTTAAAATTCAAGTGCAATATTCTTGCGGACAAGCTAACACATTGTCTTTAATGCTTTAGTGTGCAAGAATTTAATTTTTTTTCTGTTGAAAAGAAAACAGTGAAGTGGTCCAGAAATAGGTTAGGAACCACAATTTTAGCCATAACAAACCCCAATTATACAACTATTTTGAAAATTAGAAAGGGCTTGTTCAGTCTAAGTTTGCAATGAGGAATGTAAAAGATCCCCTTTAACACTAACCGTATGGGCAACAAATCAGTTCTACAGAAACACGGCCACTCTTGTTTCTTCCACACCTCACCTATTTCACCCCTCCTATATTATGTTATTTTGATGTAAATCGTAAACATCATCTGTAAATATTTTAATGTTATTTCTAAAAGGCCTCTTCAACACACATAATACCATTATTCTAACTAAAAAATCTAACAAAAATGGTTTGTATCATCAAATATTCACTATAAAACTTTTGGAAGAAGACACAGGAAAAAAAGTCTTTGGGGTGTAGGGCTAGGTGAAGAGTTTACACCAAAAACATAATCCATAAAAGAAAAAAGTTGATAAATTGGCCTCCATGAAATTAAAAACTTTTACTCCACAAAAGATCCTGTTAAGAGAATAAGAAGAAAACCTACAAACTGGGGGAAAATACTTGCAAAACATGTATCTGACAAAGTACTCCATCTAGAATATCTTTTAAGAACTCTCAAAACAAGCCATTTAGAAAATGGGCAAAAGATATGAACAAACATATCGTCAAATAGGACAGATGTACAGATGGCAAATAAGCACATGAAAAAATGTTCAATACCATTAATCATTAGAGAAATGAAAATTAAAACTCCAATGAGATATCACTATACTCATATCAGAATGGCTAAAATTAAAAACAAAAAGTGATTAACACCAAATACTGGTGAGGGTGAAAAGGAAATGGATCACTCACATATTACTGGTAGGAATGTAAAACAGTACAAACACTCTGGAAAAAGAATATGACAGTTTCTTAAAAAACTAAACATGTGCCCTGGCTGGTGTGGCTCAGTGGATTGAGCAACAACTTGTGAACCAAAGAGCCGCCAGTTTGATTCCCAGTCAGGGCACATGCCTGGGTTGTGCGCCAGGTCCCCAGCAAGGGGTACATGAGAAGCAACCACATATTGCTGTTTCCCTCTCTTTCTCCTTCCTTTCCCCCTCTCTAAAAATAACTAAACAAAATCTTTAAAAAAAAGCAACAAAAAACTAAATATGTGCTTACATCAGGTCTTAGTGACTGCATTTATACCAGAGAAAGGAAAAATTATGTTCATAGAAAGACGTATACATAAATGTTTATAGTAGCTTTATTCACAGGCAAAAACTGGAAATAGCCTAGATATCCTTCAACTGGTGAATGGTTAAACTGTGATACATGTATATCACCATGTAATGCTACTCAACAATTATGTGGAACCCAATATCCATAGAGGTAACAACTTAGATTGATCTCAAGGACATTATGCTGTGAAAAAGAAAGGCAATCTCTTAAGATAACATACTGTGTGATTCCAGTTATAGAACATTCTCAAATGACAAAATTACAGAGCTGGGGAATAGATCAGTGATTGCCACAGGTTAGAAAGTTGTTAGGAAGGGTATAGATACGGGATGTGAATGTAACACAGTAGGTAACACAAGGGATATCTATGTACTGATAGAACATCTCTGTTTCTGAATTATGGTGGTAGTTACACAAGTTAAAAACACGATTAAATGGAATAGAAACATACACACATGGAAATGAGTGCTGTAAAATGATGAAATCTGAACAAAGTCTATAGACTGTGCCAATGTCAATTTCTGGTTTTGATATGGCACTATAGTTCTGCAAGATGTTATTATGAGGGTAAACTGGGTGAAAAGTATATAAGATCTCTACTTTGTTGCAATCTTCTATGAACCTAATTATTTCAAAATAGAAAGTATAAACAAAACTTTCACTAACCCTATTTTTCTTAAAAAAAGCTTCCCAAAAGAATTGCCTACATACCCCATGATGAATTACAAATCCTTTCCCAGTCTAATCACCTTCCAATACACTAACGTGCAGCAACCAGTGTAAATTTTTGAAACATCTTTAATTAATACTCTTCTTAAAAATCCTTTTAAAAGCCTACCAACGCTCTTAGAATAAAATGCAATGTGTAGTTAAAATAAAATCCCTGCTGTGATGCAGTCTCTCTCCTGGGGCCATTCCACACCATCTCTGAAGCTCCAGTCACGCTCTAGTTCTAGAAACAGGCAAACTTCCCAGCTTTAAAGCTTCGCATAAACCACCACCATCTCCAAAGAAAGCAGAGAAATATAGTGGTTTCCAGGGTGACCTCCAAACTTTAAATCACAGGACACTGAATTCTGTAGACTTTAATTAGCAACTGAGCTGCTTCTCCCTGAGGTAACTCTATGCAGTGTCAGCCTGGAACTGATTTAAGACTGGTTTCAGGTTTTCCAAGTAACACCAGCGATGCCTGCTAACAAAGAGCGTATTTGATTGCTTATAGTGTGCTAGGTCCTTCGACGCTCAAAACGATCACCTGAGGGAGAGAGACTAGGTTCTCATTCACAACTGAGGCTTTAGGAAGCTTTAGTTAACACTCTCAGAGTTAAATAGGAAGTGGAGGGGCTGTTTTCAAAGACAGACTGCTGTAGACTTCTACTTAACACCGGTCTGTTATTCTTTTCTTCCCACCTACAAATACAACAAATAAATCCTGCAGGTAGTTCCGGGGATCTGAGATTGATGCCTGTGCTCCACAGGATTCCGACCTCTTACGCCTAGAGCAGGGAAATAGAACAGGGACATAGGTCCAGCACCAGGCACCTTCGGGAAAAGATGCTGCACAGGTGTCGGGGGCGGGCCAGCGGCTACTCACCTAGTGCTGGCTTTGCGGCCACCCTGGCACAGCGGCCGAGGCCTCCCCAGCGCGGGCCCGCACGCTGCGGAGAAGCCCCCGGGGAAGCCCCCACGGGCCCGTCCGCAGGCACTGCCCAGATAACGCAGCGAGGGAACCATCGCCTGCGACCCCTCCCCTGCTCCAACCCCAGAGTGGTCACTAGAACAGGACACCACTGGGGCACCCCCGGCGCTCTCTAGCCCGCCTCCTACGCAGGGGCCAATGAGGCGTGCACCTTCGTCCCACGTGGGAGTGGCTGCCAGTGACCAATGGGCGCGCTCAGCGGAGAGCGAAGGGCAGGCCTGCTCGCCGTACACGCCTGTGACGCTCGCTCCCTCCCTCCTTCCGCCGCCGTGAGTAGAGGACCTAGGCCGGAGCGGGCGGGGCTAGACTGGCTATCACCTCTGCCCTTTCCCTTCTCCAGTCGCTTGGCTGAGGGAAAACCTGTCCCGCAGTGTTGCGCGTCTTTGACCTTCACCGTTGAGCGGACGCCGGACTGTGGGAGAAAATCAGGGCATGATTACGGCGAAACTTCGTTTTCGCGGGCCAGTTTCTCCCTCCCTTCCGCTCGGCCCCGCCTCGGCTCCTGCCCTGACCGTAGTCCGCTGGAGGCGGATTGCTGAGCACCCGGCTCCCACCAAGCCCAGTGCCCACTGAAGGAGCGCGCCCCGTCCGGCCTTAACCCTAGCGTCGGACCGAGGCCCTATGTCACGGCAACTCCTGATAACCTGCGATCTTCTAGACTTCTTTTCGTGAGGCTCCTGGCGGTATCATTCATTCGGTTATTTATCGGTCCTGTAATATCGCATAGAGGAACCAGACCCCCCTCGGTCTCTGCCTTCATTCAGCGTTGTTTCCTTATCTTTATTACTGGGCCGACGTACAGTTTGAACTTTGTTGTGCCGGCCTGACAACATCGACTCACCTGTACAGGTCTCATCTCCCGTTTACTACTTATCTGTAAAATGAGGGAGGTGGGCTATGTAATCTCTAAAAGACCTAATATTCTAAAATTATGTGATTATCACCGTGCCTGTGTAACACCTGTTATGTATGCCTAAAGGCAATTCTTAATTTTTAGGGTCAGAACAGCGGAACAGAAAAGTAGAATGATACAACTTAATTGCTGGAAGGACTTTACTTGCCCATTTGGATTTGGTTCCAGTCCTTAGGTAGCTTGGAGAGGTCACTTCATCTCTTTGCCTCAGACCCTCCCCTCCTCTGTGAACTGAGAGTAATGGTAGTGGCTCCCTCAGAGGGCTGTTCGGATTAGGAGATAAGGCTCATCAGGTTTTAGCCCAGTGAAGTATTCGATAAATGACTGATTTTATTATGCTGAAATGGTTTTACCTCCTAAATAGTTGTACATATTTTGCTTTATTTGTGAAAACAATGTAGAATGTTACCTGCTTTTTCCATCACAAATTTTTTAAAGGGGTGGTTATTTTTTTCATTTATTTAAAAATGTTTTGAGATAATTGTAGATCCCCATGCAGTTGTAAGGAACAATGGTGACTCTGTATACACTTTACTAAGTCTTCCTTATGATAACATCTTGCAAAACGATAGTACATTACAACCAGGAAATTAACATTGACACAATCCATTGATCTTATTTAGGTTTCACCAGTTTTACATATATGTTTTAATCAGTCCTCCCTGAGGATTCATTGACTTTAGAGAGACAGGAAGGGGGAAAGAGAGAGAGAGAGAGAAACATCAATGTGAGATAGAAACATCAATGGGTTGCCTCCCATAGGTGCCCTCCCTGACCAGGGAACCAAACCCGAGACCATTTGGTGCATGGGACAATGCTCCAACCAACCAAGCCACACCAGCCAGGGCAAGTTCTATATAGTTTTTATCTATGTGTAGGTTCTTGTATCCACCACCATGGTCAAGCACAGTTCCATCACAAGAATTTCTCCATTGCCTCTTCTCCTTTTTTAATTTATTGATTTTTTGAGGGGGAGAAAGGGGGAAAACACCAGTTATTTATGCTTTTTAAAAAGATTTATTGCCCTGGCTGGCGTAGCTCAGTGGATTGAGCTCGGGCTGCAAACCAAAGTGTCGCAGGTTCGATTCCCAGTCAGGGTACATGCCTGGGTTGCAGGCCATGACCCCCAGCAACTGCACATTGATGTTTCTCTCTCTCTTTCTCCCTCCCTTCCCTCTCTAAAAATAATAAAATCTTTTTAAAAAGATTTATTATATATGTATGTATCTATTTATTTTAGAGCGAGGGAAAGGGAGGGAGAAACATGGATGTGTGAGAGAAACATTGCTTGGTTGCCTCTCGCACGCCTGCAACCAGCAGCCTGGCCTGCAGTCCAGGCAAGTGCCCTGATCGAAATCGAACTGGAGACATTTTGGTTTGTAGGACAACACCCAAACCACTGAGTCACACCAGTCAGGGCTATTTATGCATTCACTGATTGATTCTTGTATGTGCCCTGATGGGGAATCTAACCTGCAAGCGTGTGTATATCAGTGGGATGATGCTCTAACCAACTGAGCTACCTGGCCAGGGCTCCTCTGTAGCCCTTTAAAACTGCACTTTCCTGCTGCAGGGCACCCCATCCCCAATCTGTTCTCCCTTTCTAAAATGTTGTCACTTCATGAATTTATATAGATAGAACTATACAGTATGTAACTTCTCAGAATTGGCTTTTCTCATTCAGCATAATGCCTTTAGATCCATCCCAGTTGTGGCACATATCAATAGTTCATTCCTTATTGCCAAATAGTATTTCATGGTCCCACAGTATATTTAACCATTCGCCCATTGAAGGACATCTGAGTTTTTTCCAGTTTTTAGCTATTTCAAATAAAGCTGCTATTAACATTCATGTACAGCTTTTTTTGTGTGAACCTGTTTTTGTCTCCCTGGGATGAGACAAATGCCCAAGGCTCCGATTGCTGGGTCGATAAGTACACATTTAGTTTTGTATGAAACTGCCAAACTGCTTTTCCAAAATGGCTATACCTTTATACATTCCCACCAGCAATAATTTGAATAATCCAGTTTCTCCTTGTCACCAGCGTATAGTGGGGGCACTATTTTTTATTTTAATCATTTTGATAGGTATGTAGTGGAGATGGTTATTTTTTTAAACATTTTTCTTTTTTCTTTTTTTTAGATTTTATTTATTTATTTTTAGAGAGGGAAGGGAGGGAGAAAAACAGAGAGAAACACCGTGTGGTTGCTGGGGGCTGTGGCCTGCAACCCAGGCATGTGCCCTGACTAGGAATCGAACCTATGATGCTTTAGTTCACAGCCTGCACTCAATCTACTGAGCTACACCAGCCAGGGCGAGATGGTTATTTTTTAGTTGGCACAGCATGTAGTTGATTTGTTACTAGGTTGAATGAGGAATTACACACTTCCAGGGTCTGTGATCAGACTTTCACAGACCACAGTAACTTTTTTACTGCTGTGATTTTGAGGGTGTGCTTCTTAGTTTAGCAAGTTGAAAGAACTTATAATACACATGTTCTTTTTACAGTTTTTTTCTGTTTACCCTCTCCCCTAGGACTGTACCTTAAATTGTTTCAATTAAGCAATTTCATATCAAGAGCTCACCTTACATTTATACACCCTGTAGTATCTTTGGCTAAAGACATTTGTGTTCATGACACCACCCTCTCAGCTGAGAATCCGTGTTCGTCTTCCTCTGTGTCAGAGAACCTGTGAGATGTTAGTTCAGTAAGTGTCATGTGATATTGGCCTGGAAATTGCTTTTGGGACCTTTGCTTCCAGTTCCTAATGAATTGCTCTATTTCACTAGATTCTTCATGCCTCAGGAATAAGAATTGGCATCAATAATACGTTATTTGCAGTGAAATAGGGTTGCAATTTGGGGGGAACAACCCCCCAATTCTGATAACCCCCTCTCCACAGCCTTTTTGACCACTAAGTTATCCATCACTTTGAATAGCCCACAGAAGTAATTATATTTAATATGTAAAACAGAACTTCCACTAAAAAAAAACATTGTTTTTATGCAAATGACAACTCAATCGGAGCTACTCTAAGGATCTTTTTGAGTCACACAGAGGTTTGGTCTTCTCTAAGTCACAAACATAATCACAACTTTTAGGGACATCAGTTACAAATTTGTGGCTCTGAGCCATGTTCTGATAATAAGTGTTCTTTTTAATTATTTTAACTCTCGAATTATTTGTCACAGTAGTAATTTAGTAGTGGTTGTTTTTTTTTTTTTTAATCCTCACCTAAGGATATGTTTATTGATTTGAGAGAGAGAGAGACAGACAGACAGAGACATTGATCAGTTGCCTCCCATACCCACCCAGACCAGGGATCAAACCTGCAGCCTTTTGGTGTACGGGACCACCCTCCAATCAACTGAGCTCAGGGCCAGGGCAGTAGTGGTTATTTTTAACTTGCTTTTAACTGGTTTCTGTTAATTCGTTAGAGTTAAATGCACCAATTTACCAGTAGAGGTCTCCTTTCCCTGTAGAAAGCATTCCCAGTGGTAGCTGCTTGAATTCATCTGAAATTGCTAAAATCAATTAGCAAAGTTGCATTTGAGAATGGAAAAACCTACCAATTAATTTTTTACCTTTATTGCCAAATAAAAACTTGATTTTAATACTTAAATTATTTTAATAATAGCTAATATTTTTAGAGGTCATAGCTGAAGTAGTAAATTTGGCCTTTTCTTTAAGTTGAATTAGAAGGTAGGCCAAAATAAATCAAGTGAAAGTACTCCAGTTTTCACAGACCACTTAAATGTACCTGCTTAATAACAGTTTCTCTGGTTTTACGTTTCTCCATGGACATATATCAACCATTGAAGACTATTAGTTAGCAAATATTCATTAAACTCTGCATTGGGGGTATGGCACTGTGCTTGGTGCTAAGCAAAATGGAGATGAATACGATGTGATCCTTGCAGTTCTTTTTGCTCTGCGTACTTTTCTTTTTTTCTGCCTAACTGGAAATGTAATCATCTTTTAAGAGCCATCCAAAAGAAAATTCTAGTGCAAAGCCTTCCCTTCACTATTTTAGGCTCTGACAGAACTTGTTCATAACTCTACTAAGACATGTTGCATGTTGTTTGGGTCTTCTGCCTTCTTCATTGGACCATTGGACCATATGTTCTATGAGGATAGGCACCATGTCTTTATCTCAGTTTTCTGGTTTTTCTATATTCCCATTGTATCTCTTGCACTTAGGTATAGCAGACATCCAATAAATATTTATCGAATGAGTGGGTGGATGGATAAAAATGGCATTTGAATAAAGTCTTGAGGTTCGGTAAGATTTCCAGAGAAAGGATTGGGTGGGCAGGGAGTAATGATAAATGAGCCACAGCCTGAGTTGAAGCTGGAAAGCCCAGACTTGTAAATGAGGTTGACAGCCAGTGGAGTTTTTAGAGGTGGGCACAGGTGGAGGGAGCTTAAATAGAAAGCTGGAAGGGCCTGAGAGTGTGAAGGTGATAACAGAGTAGGGGATGGTGAGAGATTAACAGTAATGAAGGGAGAGCAATGGTGGAAAAGAGAGCAGGAGGATAAGTGAGTCCAGGTTCTGTCCTTAGACTTCATCTCTCACTGTTCCACAACCTCAGCATCCTCAGCCCCTTCCTCAGCTCTAAGTTGGCTCCCACTCAGGCCTCTTTCTAGTCCTCTTTTTTCCCCGTGAGTTGCAGAACCATCAATGATTGAGGAAAGAGCCCTGAACTGGTAATAGAACTAGGTTCAAGTTTCAGCACTGCCACCAATTAGCCATGAAACATTGGGCAAGTTCTTTCAAACGCATGCATTTATTAAAACCCCACCTTGTTCTAGAAAGAATTTAGGATGTCAGCAAGTTACTTAATATCAGGGCTTCAGTTTCCTCATCTCTAAATGAGAGGTTTAGTCTAGGTGGTCTGAGTTCCTTTCAGCTGTACCGTTTTGTGACTTGGATTCTAATCATTTGTTGCTCATCTCCTCTTAGAAGTTCAACATTTCATATTTAGAATATACAAAACTGGGAAATTAAAAAAAAACCCTGAACCCACAACCCTCTCCCTTCTGACATTGATTTCATAATGGTATCATCATCCTACCAGTGACTCAGGACCACAACTGTCATCTTCAACTTCTTTGGCCCTTGCCCGTACATCTCACTTATTGAGTCATGTGCAATCCATTCTGTAGTGTCATTTTCATTCTTTCCCCACTTGGCCCTTTCCCAGGCCCACATGTAGCTGGAGCCCTTATTAGCTGCTTTCTGTCCTGTTCTGTTGTACTCAATCTTGATGTTGCTGTCTGAGTAATATTCCTGAAGCATAGCTCTAACAATGCCAGTGTTTTGTGCTAAAACCTCAGTGACTCCCAACCACCTGCAGAAGACAGTCCAAATTCCCTGACTGATTATGCCAGACCCTTTCTGATGTGACTGTGTGGATTGTCTCCTCATTAGCCCATGTGCTAACCAAACTGAGATACAACCTGCCTTAAATGCCCCTGCCTCAGCTCATCTCCTGACAGACCTTTTCCTGGTACCTTTATTGAAATCCTTGCCTGGACTTATTTTAACTCTCTTGAAGTATTTATCAGGTTCTATCCTGTATTTTAACTACTCGGTAATTTGTTTGAGCTCACTCTGCCCTGCCTTAACTTGTTAGCTCCGCAAAGGCAGAGGCCAACCTTCGTTTATCCTTGTTTTTCCCCCACTTGGCACAGTACTAGAGACACGTGAATTGGCATAAATCAGATTGAGACACAATTCAAAAATCACTTTCCCAACTCACGGTTAGAGACTTTTATAGCTGGAAATCATCTGAGCACCTCATCTCCTTTTACAAGTGAGAAAACCAAGGGTCAGAGAGGTGAAGTTACTGGCCCAGACTTTCCCGGCTGCCCTTCCGCAGTTGTTTGCACTGTTTTGGTGACACTATTTGCAGCCTTGTCATAGGAAGATCTGCTTCCATGTCTCTTCTTCCTTCCTGGATGTAAGTGTCTTGACCTTCACACAGCTTTCCCTAGGTGATTTAGTTTGCATTTTCACGTTGGAAATGTAGATGGGGAGTGAGCTGATTTTGATCAACGTGTAGGTGCACTGCCTGAGTGGACACCAGGTGGCAACAGTGTGGGCAGATGCCAACTGAGGATAGAACAATGGAACTTAATGTCAAGGCTGGAAGGAACCATACAGCAATAGAAGCTGGGAAACTGAGACAGGAGTGACTTGCTCAGTAACTTTTGAGAGGCAAGTGAATCATCAGCTTTATTGGCACAAGAGCGTTGACTTTGAAGTTGTGAAGTGACTGTATGTGACTCTGGTTGCCAGCTGATTATCTAATATTAATACTGTTTTGTGTGTCTAGATTAAATGATGCTGTTTGGAAAAATTTCCTGGCAGTTATGTGGCTTAAAGAAACTCCCATGGTCATGTGACACCAGATACTTCTGGGGCTGGTTGAATGCAGTGTTTAATCAGTAAGTTACTCTCATTAAAGTGAAGGAACATGGGGATTGTTAAAGTTAGATGAGCTCCCATTAGCTATGTAATTATTTCTTGTGGTTCAAGTGGGTGTTTTGTACAGTGTATACAGTATGATCCTCATTTTGTTTAAAAATCAACAAAACACACATAGGCATTGAATAAGGGTCAAAAATAGATTGCAAAATATTAATGTGACTGGTTTGCAGGATTTCAGTAATTTTTATCTTATTTGGTCTTTCCCTGCCTTTCAGGTGTTCCAAAAAGAATATTTATTACTTTTATAATCAGAAAAGCTCAGTAAATATAATTTTAGAACATTCTATGGATTCTTAAAGGATCTAGTTAGCCTTTTGAATAGTATCAAGGGAACTCAAGTTTTTAAAAAGTTAATGGGTGTCACACTTAGAAACATTTACAACTGGTGAGACTAACCTCCTTGTTGCTTAATATAGCATTAACACCACTAACTAGAGAAAAAGTTGTACATAGAAATCAATAAATATCACATAAGATTAATTTGAACATAAGTTCAAAATTATTCCCTCTTTTATCACTAATAAAAACAACCAAGTGCATCATTAAATACATAGTTACTGAGTACCACCTGGTGTCAAGAACTGTGCTACATATGAACCAACAAAGACTCACATCTGCCTGATAACTCATATAAAAATAACATGTCTTGACAGAGGTCACTTGAAAACAAAAATAAAAGCAGGAAAGTTAGCAGATAGAGCCACTGTGTGTTTTTCTTTGTGTGGGTCTCACTAATATACTTGTCTCCCTCCTCAGTCATTTGAAATGGAAAGTTGTTGCTATTCTGTGTTTATGTTGGTGAATATAGTTAAGAAGCTAATGATTATAGTAAAACCTAACTGCTTTTGTTCTCTTTCCAACAGAGTAGATTATGAACGCATCAGGAATGCTGGGCCCGACAGGGCGGCCTCCGAGTGGCTGCTTCGCTGTGGAGCCAAGGTACGCTACCATGGCCAGGAGAAGTGGCAAAAAGACTACAACCACCTCCCAACAGGCCCTCTGGACAAATACAAAATCCAGGCCATTGATGCCACTGACTCTTGTATCATGAACATTGGATTTGATTACATAGGTAACTACCCTGTCATTTTCTTATGAGAAGTGCAGCTGATTTACAGTGACGTTTTGTTGCAGTTGAGTATTATCGTCATAGATGTGTCTTTTTTGCCTTTTTCGTATAATGCAGTTTGTTTCTCCCTCTGTATAATATTTTTTTTTTAACTAAATAGAGATTACAAACAACTTCCTCTCCTTTCTCTCCTTACTAGGCTTGTCTCTACATGACTTTATTCTGTGGTTTATTGACTTAAAATTCAAGCCTTGTTTGTCAAACTTTTGTCATTGATAAATCCTCAATATGTAGGAATAATTATATTCACACAGCTTCTGGCTGCGTGGGCATATCTTTTCCTCAGTGCATGGATGTCTGACTGCAATATGGTCCTATTAGCACAACCTGTATAGTGAATACCCCGTATGGTCAATAAGGTGACTAATCATTCCAATTTTCTGGGACTGAGAGGTTTCCCAAGACATAGGATTTTTAATTCTAAAATCAGAACAGTCCTGGGAAAACTGGGATTGTCAGTTATTTTCATGGTAAAGCAGAATCTTAAACCGCCTTTTTCCCGGTAGAGGGCCTAAAGCATGTTGAAAATATAAGGCTCCGCAAGTGCCATTATATCGAGGATGACTGTTTGGAGAGAATTGGCCAGTTTGAAAATTTACAAAAAAGCTTGTTGGAGATGGAAATAATTTCGTGTGGCGGTATCACAGACAAAGGCATCACTGCTTTGCGTCATTTAAGGTAGGTGGTCAGTGCCAAAATGGAAACTTGATAATGATGTTAAGGTGAAAAATCAGAATTTAAAACAGTTGAAGGGTCATACCTTATTTTAGTTCTGAAAAATATGAGAAAATGATTTAACCTTCATCTATAATACTTTAAAACAGTTGACGTTATCAACCGTAATGCATTATTTTAGGGAGCATCTTTTTAAAAAATTAAATCTATGTAAAGCACCTAGCACCATGCCTGCGACAGTAAGCTCTCAATAAGCATTATCTATTATGCTTCCTCTGCATCTTTTAAAGCAATTTTCCCCAAGCTCTGCCAATAACCTATCATAGGAAGTTTGAGAAATTTTAAACATTAGAACCAAAAGTACTAGATTGTTTGTTTCATCCAATAGTTGAAGCTTCAGGGCTCCATCTTGAATTCCTTTAAAAACTTTTCTAATTTGTTTCCCTTTCTAGGTTAAAATTCATATTTTATATCTCACATGCAAAGGTGTTTTATGACATAATATACATATAGTATTTGGAAAGATTCAGCTAGAATTATTGGTATAATTCAGAACAACTAATATACGCATCCTGTCATTTTTTTCTAAAAGTTAATAAATTGAATTTAATTTTAATGCTATAAGAGTAAAAGCCAAATTGGAGTAACTTCTTTTCTTTCTCTTTTTACAGAAACCTCAAGTATTTGTTGTTAAGAGATCTTCCTGGAGTAAAAAATAAAGAAAACCTTGTCCAAGCCTTTAAGACAACACACCCTTCTCTGGAACTGAAATTATATTTGAAGTAAAATAACAATAATCAACAATCAGTGCCTTATTCCATGCAAAGTATCATTGAAAATTGTTGATCCTAAACAGCAACACATAATTATATAATCATCAATGAAACTATAAAGATACCATATTTAAAAACAAAGTCCATCATATAGAAAATAAATATTCAGAGAAGGCTCACTAAAGTTACTAAACTGAAAATGATGTAAACCAGGTAGCATTTTAATTCTAATATACTCCTCCTTTTATATAGATACCTGTATAGGTATCTCTTGATTGAGATGCTGACTTGAGTTCTTTCAAGTTACTTAAATGTACAACACAGATATCCTTTATTGTGTTTTAACAGTAATTTATATTACATTTTACTTTAAAGTTAGCGAAGCATGTTACTATAATGTACAATTATGAAAAATTGAAAGCTAAATTTCTGATTCATCAATGAAGGCAATTATGCAGTGTAATCAGTGGTTATTGAGGCATTCATGCTGCTTCCCAGGGCTTGCATGCTTTTCTCATGATCCTGCATTCCTTTGCTTTTTATAACAGACACCGTTTCTTTGAATGAGTGGTTTCTGGCTAGTTTGTCTATTTGGTAAGTTTAGTCTGGTGTTTTATTAAAAGTAGACATAATACTTGGCTGAATTCAGATAGCTCTGCTGACTGCAGTAAAGCAGAGGAAACAAGCTTGAAGACCAGCAGAGTTGTACTTACTTTTTGCTTAAATTAAAAAATAGCACTAAACAGAAAATTTTAACATGTCAATTAGAAACTGATTTTTATTCCCCCATATACATTGGATACTATTTCCTATGAGCTCAAGGGACATCAGAAAGGAGTATACACAAAATTCAGTTTATAGCTAGAAAGCAGTGATAAAGAATATCATTAAATAAAAACATTATTTTTACCTGCTTGAAGTGGCTCCGATTCTATTATTGTATATGCCAACTTGTTTGTGGATTTCTGTACATTTGGTTTAAACATTAAGCTGCTGAAAATAACTTTGGAAATAATTTCAAAATAAACACTTTCTATGATACAGCATTCAGGTAGAAATACGAATTTTAATTGTGCTTAGAAACCAGCTTATGTAAATAGCACATACCACACATGATGTGTTATTTACTAATGTAACTGCCACTGTCACTTTTTTAAATCAGAAAAATAATAAAATTTTAAAAACACAAGGATATAGAAGAGTCTCATGTGAAACAGTGGTGATTCCATGTGAAGAAAAGGTTGCAGATATGGTTAATATAAGCATACACTTAGCAGAATTCATTAGAAAAACAATCACGCCTGTCTCAATTTGTTTGATACTGTGTAATGAAGCAACTGATTCACCACAGTTTAGTCTGGAGCTACTTCCTATTCTGAAAAACTGTTACATAAATTAGGCAGTTACAGTCATCTGCCTTGTCCAGTGCATTGTTTTGGGTGAAGGAAAAGAGGGAAAACAGTGTAAACTATTCACAGAAATTGGATATCCTTCCTTGTCATTTGACTCAAAACAACATAACAAGAATTAGATAATACTGGGGTTAGTAATTAGCCTACTATCAGCCCTATGCAAGGATCTACATACATCAGGAAGACTTTGGATATCATTAAACTGGCTGGGGTAGCCAAAATGATCGAGCAGTTGCCAGAATTTGGTGGGTTACTTACTTAGCTGTAAGTGAATAAGGTCAAATGGTTTCGTGAAGAAAATTAGCAGTAAACCAAGGGTGCAGAAAAAATGTTTTGAAGATACAGTAAAATACAACTTCAGAAACCATGGCTGAGAACAGCTAGGAAATTGCAGCACATCAACCAAAAATGACTTTGAGTTATAAGAAAAGACATGAATTTTATATTGCCCTTGTGTCTAGGTGACAAGGATGAACTGTTTGAATAGAAGCAATAGGCCAAATCAAGCCTAACTAACTACATCATCGCTTTCAGTATCACTGTGTAAAGCGAGGAATCCTCTATCATTTTGGACTATAGTTTTATTATTAGTTGTTAGAATAGTATGTATTTACATACACATATATACATGTGTGCATACACACACATATACATATAGTATAAAAAGATGTTTCAGGGAAAACAACAGTTTACCACCTAAGGTCTTTCATGAGCCAGGTAAAAGCTCGTAAGCAATTTCTTCCAAAACCCAGATCACCGTAATCCTGCCTGCAGATCTGTCTCCAAGTCTGAGGCTGAGCCGGAGAGAATGAAGTACTAATTACTCTTAGGCTGGCAGGTTTAGTTCCTGCCAAACCTATAGGTTTTGTTCTACCCCTTGCACCTTGGTCAGCGCCAATCTGCATGCCATTGTTTTCAAGGGGAATTGAGTGAACAAATGTAGATGGAGTATAGTAATCCGTCTTACCTGCAAAAATGACTAAGATGCATCCTTTACTAAAGGTAAAGACAAAAGTATATGTGAGAAATGTCTATAAACATATCATTAAATACATAAGCACATGTGAGCCTTGATGATAATATATGATTTTAAGTATTTTGAATAACTTAAAAATTCCAAAAATGTTTTAAAATTTAAAAACCAAGAGATAGAACAGACAGGAAATGGAATTTTAAATATTTTGATTACAAGAACTAAAACATCCCTTAAACATGTTGAAACAATCTGAAAAGACAAAAGATAGGACTCAAGGGAACAGAGACCTACGGAAATATATATGGGCATTTTGTGATCCATTTCTCACTGTTGTCTATGGTACAAAGGAAGCATAAATATTTTTTACATCTCTCGTTTTGCTGGAATGATGGGCAGTAGATACCATTTCTATATCTGTCCATAAGTTCAGCTACTTAGATACAACAAAAACCCTAGTGGAAAACCAAGTAAGTTTTCCCCTTCTGTTCCGGACAGCATCACCAAGCATGGAAGACTGCTTCTTGGCAAGATCTGGAAGTTCCCTTCCTATCTTGCCAAGTGGTCTCCCCTCGTTAGTTATTTATGTTTTCTCAACATTTGGATGGCTGTCAGTCAAATGTATTAGGGGCGGGGTTTTTTTTGAGTTATCAATCAGTTCTTTTATCATCCATCTCCAAGCTCCTTAAATGTTTGGAAAATGGTAGTTAAGTTTCTTGGCATTGTAGCTGTATTTCTTATTATCCAAAGCTGGAAGGATGCTGCTGTTAGTCAGCTGAGGTAGGTACTGCAACTGAAAATACAAAGCACAGAATTGGGTTAAATGTCATGCATTTTTTTCATCATTGGTAACATATCACAAAAGATAATTAAGTAAAATTTTCAGCACAGAAATACTTTTTCTGCACAGAATCCAGAATGTGAGAGAAGACAAAATGTTTAAATTTGGTCTCTGCTTTTCCTTTTAGAGGTTTACCTCACATTAAGAAGAAACACATGAACATTGAAGAAAATGTAGGGAATATAAAAAAGGCAAAATCTGTGTGTCAACATTATTGGGAAAAAGCATATATTCACAGAATCATTTAAGCCAATGCCTTGTTTACAGCAAAGAAAACTGGTGTCCGGAGCACTTAGGCAATTCGCCCACTTACTCCTTAGTTAAAAAGACAAAACCGATTCCTTCATGCTGCTAGGAAATGTTTGAATTTGTTGTAAATGTCATGTAAAAACAAGGAGAACACACATCTATACTTTTTTATTGTACTATATGGCCATAGATATCTGAAAAGCAGTTATTTTTTTATTACTTTTAAATCAAACAGTTGAATCCTTCAGTACTTACAAGCAATACACAAATTAGTGGGATTCCCATATTCTTCCAAGTAAAACTATTTCCATCAAGACCCTTTACTCTTGATCACAAAGAAACAGCAAGATAAGGGCTAACTCTGAAGGGGGAGTCTTTTTCCAACCTGTTTTGCTACCTGGGTCATATATGACAGAGATTAAGAGGAAAGCATTCTCAATTTCAAAACTGATCTTAGGGCCCGGAAGTTCATGTGGCACCTGCTCCTAATGGCCAGTATACCCTCTTCCCTCCTCCAAACTTCACACACACCACCAGATACCACTCAGCATGCTGTGCAGTGGAGGCTGCAGAGGGAAAGTCTAAGGCAAGATAATTTAAGCTTAAGGGGTATCTAGGCAGTTTCAGAAGTGACCAGGAGCAGCCAGCTCATCTTACTTGTGGTTCCAATTATGGTCCATCCTAAATTATCACAGCTTTTGGCTTTTGACAAGACACTTAATGTAAGGCCATTTTGCCACTTTACATGAATCATGATGCTTCACAGGCTCCCAGTATGCAGTTTGGATGTTACTCTTTGGCTAAATGTACTGTTCTGCTGCTAATGCTGAAGGCACTCATCACTCACTGCATTTACCCTAGCCAACTCTGCCAATTAGAGGATCAGGGTGGAAAACAGTTCCTTGGGGGAATAAACCTGGAATGTCAATTAATACTGAAGGTAAACAAGATGACAAAGAGCTGCTGGGATGAATCTGGTTTCATTTTCCAAAGCACAAAAAGCACACTCAGCTGGGGTGACTCCAGGTACTCGGGCAAGACCTGTGCTCACACATGCCCAAAACCCTGGCCCCTTGCATGGCACCCAGGAACTGCAGGGCAAAAACATCTTTAGAATTCAAGGGGAAAGGCCTTAGGAGGCAGCTGTCTCTGGGGCCCTGGCTAGTAAATCATGTGAGCAGGGTCCTGGGGCAGGAACGAGGTGCTGGAGCTGCAAGCCACAGTTGCCCCCACCGGTATAGATTCACACTCTCTAGACTAGGTGGCAGGTCTGGGGTCATTTGAAACTGCAACCTTGGAATCTTTTGTAAAGCTGTGCCCCATTCTTACCCCAGGCAGGTGCTTTCGATTCTGTCTTAGGGCCTTCCTTGTTGGCTTGTCATGATCTTTGCCCAAACCCCCTTTTTCTCTGATGCTGTCAAAATACGGGTGTTGCAACAGCTGTTCACACGTCAGTCTCTCAGCAGGATTCATGTGAAGACAGCCCTAAAAGAAGAGAGAATTCCATCTTCTCACTTTTTAAAAATAATATTAATGTATTAATGTCATGTTTTCTTCTTTGTAAGATTAAACTTATAATCAATTCAGAACAAGGTGGGGGGAAAAGGAAGGGACAAAAACCCAGTCATGGTTTTAGTTCCTTCCATGATTATTCCAGAATGGGTAACCACACAATAGTTTCTGGAAATAGTAACAAAAAATCATCTTCCCCACCTTGTTCTCTTCTTGAGGCAGTTGTTACTCTGCCCCCAGGGAGTAGGATACAACTTAAATTATCCACTCAGTCCATTCTGTCCCTTGCATATATTTTGTAAAAACTAGGTTGGTTTTTTTAATTTAAAAAATAATACCTACACGTGGTAAAAATAAAATGCATACAAGATTCAGCAAAGTCCACCACTCTTTCCATTTCCCCCTCTAAAATCAGATTTTTTTTGTATATTCTTTCAGAAATAGTCTAAGCATTACAAGCATACATGTGTCTGCATAGAAGGAGAGGCATAATATACATCCCTTTATATTACACCATTCTTAACTCTTTGCTTTGCCAGGAGCTTTCCATAGGGCTAATACTGGATTGATTACTTCTCATGACCCCATACCCCAAGGAACTGTCTTACTTTTTAAATGTTATAAATACATCAGCAAAGGTAGTCAATACTTTTTGAAATGGGTGGGACATTGACAGTAATTTGTAAATATTTTAATATTACCTCATTCACATAAGATCTATATAATTTTGAAAATGTATATTTATATAAATTTTAAAATCAAAACCTTCTTCAAGTATACCAGGGAGTTGACTCTTTAAAAGAATCCCATGGTTAAACATTTTTTGAAGAAAAGGATCCTTTTTTAAAACAAACACCACTACTCTGAAATTTCTATTTTGTGTAAATTTAGAAGTCAAATACAATGTTAACTTTATTTAAAGTGAAAAACACTTGCAGATGTTTTTACTGTAATAGAATGTGACCCACTTTAAAAACTGAAAACATTTATACTTTTCAAAGGGGAAGAATTCTGAAAGGAAAACTTTTCAATCTGTGGATTCCCCCATGAGAACAGCTGCTGGAGAAGCCACGGATTTACCTTCAAGAGCCCCAGGGCAGGATAAGAAATGTTTGGAAATTTTAATTCAAGTGGTTCCTGTTAAAAAAAAGAAAGAAAGAAAAGGGGGTTTTACTTACAGCATGTATTCAAATATGAGGTTACTTCAGATTGCACTTCTTTTGAGTGAGAGCGGCATCTTCCTGGCACCTGCCTCACCTCCTCCACCCTCTGCCCACCAGACCTCTCACCTGCAGCAGCCTCCCTATGCTTGTTTCACAAGCTCCTTCTCTCCCCACCTCCAGATGGATTTCCCAAATCTTCCAAACCACTCCCTTCACTTCCTGAATAACTGATGCAGGTAGCAAATCATGAGAAAACACTAGTAAAACAAACAAGCAAATTCACTGAGCAATTTGTTATTCCCTTTTTTCTGCCTCAATTTATATAACTTGTCATGCCTCGGAATAATTTTTGGCACTAATTTTGGCTTTTATATAAAGGGGCCCAATTTTGCATTTATTGACATTCACAAAAACGGAGCTTCGGAAAAGATGATTTTTTTTTTTTGGTTACCCATGTGAACAGATGCTTCTTGGTTTTCTGAGATAAACACTGTTGTCTCCTCCCACAAGAGCCTGCTGTTTCCCTGATCTTCCTACTGTTTAAAGTGTCTCCCAAGCAGATATCCCTCAAAACTCCCTTTGGCCATGTAAGACTATTTTGTTCCAGTTACGTGCTGGAGACAATGAGAAATAACAAACAAGATGATGCGGAAGAAACGCCCAATGTCAGACAGACAAACAGGCAAGCCAGTTCGTGAGATACACCACTGACAAAGAGGCTAATCGGAGAGGGGAGCTGAGAAAATAAGGGCCAGCCAAGCTGAGTGAAACGAACAACCGGCTGTGTTGAGTGTATGAAGAGGGCAGTGTGCGAGCTGGAGGCTGGAGTGGCTGCCCAGGCTCGCCGAATGAAACGGAACCCCTGGTGCTGTGTGATTTAAACAGGGAGCCAGACAACGACCACCAACTCCCAAATGTGTACTTATTAATCTCTTATGAGAGTAAGAGACAAGAGCCTCAGTTTTGGAATTCCTTGTGATACACAAGGAGGAAAAAAATCCTAAAGCAGATTGTATTAGCCCTTGAGACCAGGCCCTCTCCTAACCACTCATGGCCGTAGATCAAATCAGTGATTTTTAACTGGTGTGCTGCAAGAATTTTAAAAACATGGAATAGCTGTTTAGTCAGTGTCATTGACCTCTTTTCCCTTGGAATGTCAACTAAAAAAACGACAATAGTCAATGCAACAATAGACATCCAGTGTGAATAAGTCAAAATAAACCTATTTTTTGTCTGATCAGCAAAAAACACATTTTTTGGTGTGCTGCAGAATTTTAGTAATGAGTTTATGTGTGCCATGAGATGAAAACAGTTGAAAATCGCTCACTCAAATATTCCTCTTGCCATTTCTGGGTGCTGCCTCTGAGCACGGCTGGGGATTGACACGACACTGCTGACACTGGGCTCTGCTGTCTCAGCTCGGTGCCTGGGATACGATGGCCCTTTCTGCCTGCTTAGCCAGTTTTCCCGGCCCCAGAAGCCAGCAGGCCTCCCTCCGGCAGGGTTACCGACCAGCAGAGGGACTCAGGCACAAATGTTGAACCAGCACATCCCTTCCACTGCTGCTTCCTGTGTTTCTGTCAACAGGAAATCCCCTGCAGGACAACCTCTGGGAAACCATGGAAAGCTTTTACATTTATGAAACCTGGGTTGTTTCTGAGGCTTCACCGGTACACAAGCAAACAGGAAATCCTAAGGGATATTCAGTGTGGAACTGGGGATGTCCAGGTCACTAGGGAGCCAGCTGGGTCACCTCCCATATGCCAGGTGTCATTCCTGCCTCTCTGTCCCAGCGTGCTCCCAGCACGCCCCACTTTTCCCCTTGCTGGTGGCTGCAGGAATGGGAAGAGGAAGTGTTTGCTGTGAGACAAACCAAGGGGCTGAGGGAACAGACAGCTCAGATGGAGCTTGACAGAACCTCCACGTGGAAACTGAGCAATGGGAGGGTTAGTTCCCATATGGAATACTTCTCTTAGACAGTAGAAACAAAGGATTTCATAAATCTTAATTGTGCTCTGAAATGTTTTTGATTATTATACAGGTCCATTAGAAGACATAAAAAATATTCAAAAACCATAAAGAAAAATATGACCCCACCATGAGAGATATACTCTGTTAACATTTTTGTATTTATCTTGTGGCCACTTGTTTCACAAATGTAAAAGCTTTATCATGATTTTTCAAAGGTTGTCATATTATTTTATACATATATATATTTATATATATATATATTGTGTAGTAAATAGTTGTTAAAATTATGTCAAATTATATATACTGTTTTATAAGTATTTTTTCATTTAGCAATATGTTGTGAACTTTTTTCAGATGGATACATAAAAATCTATTTTACTGGCTACATGGTATTTCTATTGTAAGGCTAGACCATAAGTTATTTAATCCTCTACTGACGGGGCACAAAGGGAAATGATTTCTATTAAAGAATGTTACACCTTTATGCCTTTCATTAGAATTCTTTTTTTTAAATATTTTATTTATTTATTTTTTTTTTAGAGAGGGAAGGGAGGGAGACAGAGAGAGAGAGAGAGAGAAACATCAATGTGCAGTTGCTGGGGGTCATGGCCTGCAACCCAGGCATGTACCCTGATTGGGAATCGACCTGAGACACTTTGATTCACAGCCTGCGCTCAATCCACTGAGCTATGCCAGCCAGGGCTAGAATAAATTCTTGAAAGTAGACTAAGGGTATACATATATATTTTTAAGATTTTGTTTATTTATTTTTAGAGAAGGAAAGGAAGGAAGGGAAGAGAGGGAGAGAAACATTGATGTGTAGTTGCCTCTCATGCATCCCCTACTCGGGGGCACCTGACCCACAACCCAGACATGTGCCCCGACTAGGAATTGAACCTGGTACCCTTTGGTTCACAAGCCGGCACTCAACCCACTGAGCCAGCCCAGCCAGGGCAGGGTATGTATATTTTTAATTTTTCAGTTGTTTTTTTTAAATGAGTATGTTCCCCACACTGGCCACAGAGGATAGGCACCAGAGTGAGGCTGGCCACGCAAGTTCATCACCATTTCCCACCATGGTCCAGGGAGTGACAGCTCACTAGAGCAGGGGATTTGGGCAATGCTGGATTTTCCTGGATGAGTCATTGTCTAAAGCTGACTGGCTCTGCGCTTCAACTGCTGAAAATGATGAAGGACAGGTGAGGTCAGGGCAGGCACTCTGCATTCCTGTCCACCATGCTCACTAACCTCTGCTAACTAGGTTTTGGTAGTTACTCACTTGCCTGAGCCCCAGTTTATTTCCATTCCTAGACTGACCTTCCAGGGCAGACTGGATCATGGGGCTCAGGAAAGTAACTACCAAAACCTAGTTAGCCTGCAACTCCCCATGTAAATGGAATGATCACCATTTAAACACCCTGGTAACCCTCACATGCAGAATTCCTTCCAAAATGGGTCACTCACCTTATCTTCAGGATCTGGAATTTTCACCCCACTGAAGTACTGATTGGTGCTGAACACTTGCTGGTGCCTAGGAATGAGATCCCCTTTGGACAGAAGAAAGAAGAAGTAAAATGAGATGGGTTAGCAAGTACTAATCTGTGGTTTCCCTTCTGCTGGTTCAGTGTCCGTCTGTGCCTACACCTACGAAGGCTACAGTCTGCCGTCCCAATCAGAGGGAAAGGCATTGAGGCAGCCTCAGCAACCTGTACTGAGGCCTGTGGTGTGGAAAGCACTGTTAGGCACACAGGAGGCATGCACAGAAACAGAGGGCTGTGAGGTTCTTGCCCCTCAAGGCTCAGAGTGTATTTAAGTAATCCAAACCGAACAGCTCAGAAGTACACTCACACAAATCAAATAACCCCCCTTTTTTAATAGCAAAAGTGCAATAACTACAATCAAAATCATGTTAACTGAATGAATCTTGATGGGTTAAGACAAAAAGATGGGTTGGCCTCAGGTTAGCACAGTGCCTGACACATAACAAGCACTCAAAAAATATTTAAGGAAGGAAAAAAAGGCAGGCAGGCAGGCAGGAAGGAAAGAAGGAAAAGGGAAGGAGAGGGGAGGGGAGGGGAAGGAGGGAGGGAGGAGGAAGGGAGAGAGAAGGCGAGAGGCGGGAAGGGGAATCATGGGAAATCTAGCTAGAAGGAACCCATTTCTAGCCTGGAACTACCTTTCCTTGTTTCACCAGGTAGCGACCACCTGAAAAATCCCGTTTTACCTACTATTTAAAAGTACTTACAATGTGAAGCAACAAAACAAAAGGAGCATTTCTGTATTCTGGGGATTATGTGCGGCTCACTCTGCCCACATTTCAACCAAAACAGCTAAAATTGCCCTCACGTAAAATTCTAGGGGTAGTACACTTGAAGAGGAATTTTGCTCAGAGAATACAAGGGGGTACTCAGAAACGGGCATCCCTAAGGCACGCCCAGGCCCACTTCCCAGGGCAGAGTGAACAGCAAACACCACCACGCCAGGCTCCCAGGAATGCTGCTGTTGGACTAGGCTGGAGTTCTTACCCCAGGGTATCCAGTTGTCTACTTTTACAAGTTTGGTTTGGAAATTTACCTGTCACTCAAATCACAAAGCTGCTATCCCACCCCATTTTGGACAAGCAGCCAGAATATACTCTCTGATATCTTACCCCAGACCTCGTGAACTTCAACGTGAGAACTGTACCTGTATCTGAATAACCTTCTTCCATTGGAGTTGGGGGACATGGAGAGGGTGTCCTAAAATCACCAGAGGATTTTAGCAAAGGAAGGCTCAGTGCCCCTGGAAAGGTTCCCAGGTCTCTTACTTGTCACTCAACAAAAGCCATCAGCAAATATTTACTACCTCCTATGTGCAGACACTGGTGGAAGACATGTAGAAATAGTCATGATCCCACCCTCAGGCAGCTAACAGTAAATTTGGGAGGACAGTAAAAGATGTGGTGACAGCAAGGGCCACAAGTGTTTACAAGAGGATGAGTTCTCTTTAATTTGGGGTGCTCAGGGGAGTAGCTAAATTCCCTCACCTTTGAAAAGGACAGTCACTGCTTATGGGTCTTTTCACCTGTCCTTCTCCTTCTCCCTCTCCTCCTCCCCTCTGCCCCCCCACCCCAAGAGGAGATAGAAGGGAAGTGGCTCTGGGGTGAGAAAGCAAGACTACACTTTCTTCCTGCCGTGTAGAAGGGTGAGAATTTTTCTCTGCAGGGTCGGAATAATCCAAATTAGCCTGGCAGGCTGGAGTCAAGGACAACCAACAAATGAATTACCACATCATGGTAAATGAAATAAAATACACCAGCATCCTCTAAACTGCTAAGCCCTTGTAGAAATGTATGTTTGTATTGTTGCTATGATCATTATTCAGAGTTTAACTTGATCCAAACTATTTCAAAGAGAGAATCTGTCTTTTTGGACAATTAATGCGTACTTAAAGTTGTGGATTCTTTTTATTAAAACAAATGTGGACACCGTTAATGGAGTCATTTTTTTTTTAGAGTGCCCCCCCAGCCTCGCAACTATAAAGGGCATTAGGTGAGATTAGGAACTTGGCTCTGCTCTGCACTGACATGGGTAACACTATCCAGTTCCCCAAAAGGCAGGACAGAGACCCCACTTACCCAAGGTTTTTCTGATCAGGTAAAGCTGATCCACATCAGATTTGCCTGGCCACAGAGGCACCCCTGACAGCAGCTCAGCAAACACACAGCCGATTGCCCAAACATCTACTGGAGGGCCATACTGCATGTCCCCCACCAACAGCTCCGGGGACCGGTACCACCGGGTAGCCACGTAGTCTGTGTAGTAGTCACTCGGTCCAGCTGGCCAGTGATGGGACGTGGGAAACAGAGAGAGAGCAGTGGAAGCGTGGGATCAAAACCAGGAGGGGAAAGACCTAAGACATCTATCTAGTTTGTGCCCCATATGTGGCTTTTCTAAGTCAGTGGTTCTCAGTACAACTTGTACATTGAAATCACTTAGAAGACAGAATTTTTCAAGTACTGAAGCTGGGCCCCACCCTAGTACAATTAAACCACAGTCCCTGGGTGGAGGGGTGGGGGGTGATCAGTATAGTTTTTATAGTTGTAGTTCCCCATGCAATTTTAATCTGCAGCCACAAATGAAAACCGCTTTTCTAAAATAGTACAAAAGATGGTAGAAACCAGGAGGGTAACATATTTTTTAATAACCACTTCACTGTGGTATACTTTATATATAACATACATTTTTAAACCACTGTATGTGTCTACATGTTTTCAGTAACTACAAGCTTAGGCCCTAAATATACAAGAACTAGCTTTCTATAGCACTTAGATCTTTCATTATATAAAGAATTTTTCATCTTTTATACTTAAGAGAAACATGAATACTCACTCAAAAGCCGAGCGAATCCAAAGTCACAAAGCTTAATCACTGAATGTTTGGTGATAAGGATATTTTCCGGCTTCACATCTCTATGTATGCACTAGTCACAAACACAGAGCCAAAATAGATTATTAAAGAGCAACTATAATATACAGGGTAAATAAAACACATGAATAATTAGCAAATAATTGAGAAATTGTTTGACCCTCTCACTGGCCTTTTGGATAAAAAGCTGCAAAGTACCAAAACTTGCGAAACAGCAGCATGAAATAAATCTAGTACCCTACCTATCATAGCCTCAATCATTCCAAATTCCTGAAGGGCCCAAAATACAAACAAGGAAACCCAAGTAAATTTACATTTTAGTTAAACAATTTTTTGGTGTAAGTATGCCTCATGTGGTATTTGGCACGTATTTAGTCTGGCAACGCTAGGTGAAAGGGAAACGTTGAAAGGTTCTGGACGCGGCCTGCACCGTGACTGCTGGAGCTGCAAGCTGGTGCATAAGCAGGATTCACCACTCAGTTGTTTAACAGAGCAGGACACAGTCTGCCTGGTAAACAGGACAAGCCCTGGGCCTGCTGAGATAAGCTTGGAAAGAGAAGGGCGGGGACCAAGAGCTTACTTGCCGAGAGACCTCCCTTCCAGCTCTGACATCTGTCCTGACAAGATAAACAAGAGGAGGTAGCGCTCACCCTCTGGAGAGAGTCGCTAGATGTCAGCTCTGTCCCACACACATCAAGGGTTTTAGAGCTACATCCTCGCCATAGTTTAGACTCAAATCACTTGTGCTTTCCAAACCACAGCAGACATTGTTTAACAAAGGGATGTTAGAAGAATGTTTAAGAATCCTCACATGATTTTCTCATAACATAATTTTCTTGGCAAAGAACAAATCAACAACCTAATTAACAATCATATAAAAAGGGTTGGCTTAAATAATTTTTCAGGGTTCCTAATAATCTTCCCTTCTTCCAAGCGTTTTCCTCTCTGGAGGAGAATGTGGGATCCCGCAAGGAGGGACCCTCTTTGGCTCCCAGCTGAAGCCCTGGGGGTATTCTTGACTTTCCGGAATTTGGAAAGAGGACAGAGGTTCTTCTTGGGTCTGGCCTAGCACTCACTCCAGGGGACCTTCAGGGTGAGAGATCAGTGTCAGTGTTCCCAAAGGGTATTAATTCCTCTGGAAAATAATTTGGGAGACAATTTCTGAATTATATCATTACAATCTATCTGGTTCTTAGCAACTAATGGCCCTGAGATCTCTACTCTTTTACCACTGGCTTCACATATTACTATAAATGGGCACACCCATAGATATGATGACAGATGGTCAGAAGGACTTGTAAGCAAGAATGTGCTCCTATTCTGTTCTGGGAATTCTTTAAAAGTTGCCACACCCTTTCTCCATCAGCACAAACAGAGCAGTCAGGGGCCCCTCAGGGAACTGTGGTGCATTTGTCTTTAGCGTCTCTATTTCTCCCAATCCCTCCCCACCCCAGAGCCTTAATGCAGTCTCTCTGGCTCCCCCATCCTAATGCCTACCCTCAGGAGAGTGCTAACTCTCACTGGTAGTAAATAGCAGTATAAAGTGTCCATGCCCCCTGCTCTACATGCATTTTGACAAGGACTGTAGCCTTCAGCAAGGTGGAGACTCAGTAGGGAGAAGTGCTGACTACTATCATTTTTTCTCCTTCCTGGAAGGCAGCTTTGGGAAAAATCATTTCGGAAGAGCTCCAAGATGAGTTTTCAGGCCCATTGCAGTCAGAGGACCCTCGTGGCCACAATGAAGCTCTAACGTTGGGACTTGGCTGCTGTGTGCAGGGAGTGGGCAGTGTTCTACAGGAGGGGACAACAGGCTCCCCAGCATCTGTGAAGTCACAGCAGCTGGTCCACTGCCTCTGCCAGGCCTTACAGTGGCTGGGAGTGTCATAGGCTTCCCGCTGGGCTGGTTCGTTCCAGACCTGGCATTCATATCTCAGCAAAGCAGACACTAGCACTGAGGCATCGTGCCTGGAACTCCACCTACTGCCTCTGAACAGGCACGAGTGATGTGGGGTTCCCCTCCCCAATTTCAGAGCCTTGGGAAGGTAGCAGACCCACACAAACTCTAAGTGAATGGGATGCCATCTGAAAACTGAGTAGCTTCTGATCAGCGTAACTACTTTCTGAAAAATCATAAAAATGCATTCTTTTTTTTTTTTTTAAAGATTTTATTCATCCATTTTTAGGGAGGGAAGGGGGGCAGAGAGAGAGAGAGAGAGGGAGAGAGAGAGGAGAGAAACATCAATGTGCGGTTGCTGGGGGTTATGGCCTGCAACCCTGGAATGTACCCTGGCTGGGAATCGAACCTGGGACACTTTAGTTCCCAGCCCGCGCTCAATCCACTGAGCTACGCCAGCCAGGGCTAAAAATGCATTCTTTATGTCACCTGAACAAGGAGGAATAGTCAGGTTGGCATTTTTAGCCTCTACATACCCCAACCAGGCTTAAGAAGATTTGGGTGAAAAATTCTGTCCACAAAAGCACAACATACACTTTGAACAAAGGCTCCACCTCAGCTTATGGGCAGCCTTCTGATTTTTTCAAGGGAAATCATGAGACTTACATTGTGTCTATGGCAAAAATTTACAGCTTGCAAAGTCTGCCAAGTGATGCTCTTCACGAGATGTTCCGGCACCCTAGTGAAAATGAAGAAGCAGCATGAACACAGGCTTAAATAGTGAAAAGTCCAGGGTGACACATACAGTCATCGAACTCATCGAAACGTCATTCCCTACATCCGAGTGTAAGGAACCCGTGACGGGCACACTGCCGAGCTCCAGTGGCAGCAGGCAAAGATCTGCTTCCACAGGGAGGGACCATGGACACCCACAGGGGTTTTGGCAAGTATTTATGACGAGCGGTCTCAAATATCTGTGACACTACTGGGAACCTGCCTGGTCACTTGAGCTCCACTTCTAGAAGCAGCTTTTTGTTGGTGGAAAGTTAGTTAACATACAGCATAAAATACGCTGTTTGTTTTTTCAAGTTGCCCCAAACTCATGGCCTTGTAGCAAAACTCATCTTCTGTGTGGGCACATGGTTCCTCCAGGCTCCCTCGGCAGGATTTTTTTTTAAGGTAATGAAGATTTTGCTGAAGACAGGGAAGACGTTTACATTCTACACCACGTTACAGAAGTTAACCATAATTAAAAACCCACGTAGGCAGCCTGGTCTGTCCCCCACACTGCTCTTCCCTGCCAGCTAGCTGCACCGCCCTCTCATCTTTCTGCCTGTCTTCTTTCACAGCATCTAAACTTGATGCCACTGTTCCCAGCACATCTCTGACTTGGAGCTTATATATGACCAGGCAACCAGTAGCCCCAGCGGGTCCTTTGTGTGAATTAGAAAAAAAATCCCTCCTGGGGGAGATTTTCTTTTTTTTAATTAGGCAGTGAGTGAGAGGGGCCACAGGAAGTGTACATTTATTTTCAGACACTCCCACCCACCAGCTGGACCTAGTGTTTTTACAAATCAAACGTTAAACAATGCTGTTGTGGTCCTCAGCCAGAACTAAGAAGTAAGGCAGGGAGGAAACTCCTGAGTAGTTGTGTTCAAGTGACCAAAAAAAGTCACTTCCAGTCTCTGGGAGGGGCTGCAAGGTCACTGCGGTCACAGACCAGATGTTTAGGAAATCCTTTCAAGTAGATAAGAGGCTGCTTGGACAAGGGGGCAACATGAGAGGGGCCACTTCCCGGAAGACAAGCTGGAGCATTCCTTCACCAGCACCAGGGCCGTGGGGTTCTGGCAGCTCCCCTCCAAATTCTCTTCCTTATTCCAGTGGCAGAGAGGCACAGACGCTAGAAAATCTCGCCTGTCTAGGAAAAGACAACTAAGAAGGGAACATTTCAGGGGAAATGCTTTTCCCCAGCCTCCACTTTCTGTCCAGAAAAAGGGAATATATTTTGATTATTTAATGAATTAACTATTAAAGTAAGGTTATCAATCCCAGGCAAATTTAGTCTCTAAGAACATTTCCCAAGAGGAATGATTTAAAAAGATCATTTAAATTAAATTAGAACAGAACATCATCAATGCTCCTCTAAGGCTGAGCACACTTCTTCCACAATTCCCAAACGTGAGAACTCTGTGCACACTCCCTAGTGTTGTCTTGGGCTTGCCACTCACTTCACTTCTTTATCGCTCCATTTCCTCTCTGAAATGCCAGTGCCTCGGACTCTACCTCTGAGATTCTTTTTAGCTGCTGATGATAGGAGCCAGGTTCTTCACTGCAGAAGAAGGGAGTTATAAATACAGAAAGGGAGCAAAGTAGAATCTGTTCTGTGGTGTCGGACTGGAAACAGATGTACACACACGTAGGAGGTAGCTGTGCTGGAAGGGGTGCTGTCTTATACAGAGTGTTCCAGAAAGCTCCTCTGCTTCACTACTTCAGACTCAGTGGTTAAATGATAAGATGTGGCCAGATTTAGGCTATATTTTAAAAATAGAGTCTTCAGGATTTTCTGAGGGATTGGATGGGAGAAAAAGAGAAAACAAGGCTGACCACAGGGTTAGTTTGAGTAGCTGGTTCGTGTTGGACCTTTTACTGAAAAGAATGCTGGGGCAGGGAATGGGATGGGGTTTGGCTTGTGGGGAAAGGAGGGTGGATACTCCGAGATACTTTGGAGAATCTAAGCATGCAGTTCTGAGTGCAGAAGGGAGGCCTGGCTGGAAATATAAATGTGGAGCCCTGGCTGGCATAGCTCAGTGGATGGAGCACGGGCTGGGAACCAAAGTATCCCAGGTTCGATTCCCAGCCAGGGTACATTCCTGGGTTGCAGGCCATAACCCCCAGCAACCGCACATTGATGTTTCTCTCTCTCTCTCTCTCTCTCTCTCTCTCTCTCTCTCTCTCTCCCCCCCTCTCCCTTCTCTCCCTAAAAATAAATAAATAAAAATCTAAAAAAAAAAAGAAATATAAATGTGGAAAGCATAAGCCTCCTGATGGCACTTAGAGCCCCCGCACAGGTGAAGCCACTTGCAAAGTGAGCACAGGAGAGGAGGAGGTCGAAGTTCAGAGGCCTAGAAACTTGGAGGGACCAGCAGGGGACTGGGGTTGAACATCATGTGAACTAAGAGGTCACTCGGGAGACAGTGTCACTGAAGCCAACTGAAAAGAGTGTTTCAAAGTACTTGTGGTTTAAGATGTTGGGCTGAACAAATCCATCTGATTTCACTCCTTCTGCAAATCTGACTAGAATGACACTGAGGGAAGAGAACTATTCGGAGAGAATGGAGAAAGAGATAACACACTCTGGAATCCAGAGAGCAGTCCGATGAATGATAGCTGACAACAGATCCTAGAAAGCTGAAAGCTAAGCCCAGGGTGGGGAGAGTGGAGGACGAACCAATTTACCCCAAAGAGTCCTCAGAAGCCTCAGGAACCAGCAGTTAAGACCTGTATGGAAATGGGAGGAAAGGAGTGTGGAAAAACCTGTTTGGGAAACAAACCCCTAGACCCTCTCCCCTGGTCTAGTCCAGTAGGGGATACCCTTCCCCTACTCAGTAGAAGGCTGGAGTTTTGTTTTCCAGGGAGGACAAAGTAGAGGACATCTGGTACAGTTGAGATTATGGATTCCGTTCCAAAAGCAGGGTACATACTGAGTACCGCATACATACTAAGCATTGAACACAGACTCCCCAACCCCCTTACCACACTAGGTTCGGGGAAAGCTGGCAGCCTGACTTTACTCTTTAGGCAAAATATTGGAAGACTTTGTTAGTGGAAGCTCAGGAGAAAAGAGCTAAAGATGGGGTTTCCCCAGCAAATGGCCCAGCCAGATTGCCCCGCAATGAGGCTCTGAGTTTCTAGTAGTTTCCTACTCTAAACCCTAGGCATACCACTGGAGATTCTATCTGCCCATGGAAGTCTCACATAAGAAAGTTAGAGACCAAAACAAACAGAAAGAAAGCAACTCAAAAGAAAGAAAAAAACTATGGAGAGTGAAGAGAATATTAAAAAAAAAATTAATATCCTCAGAGAGGATGGCAACAGGAAAGCTGTTCCTCTGTGAAATAAGGACAGGACACTGTAAGAAAACAAGAGGATCATGGAGTCAGATGTCCACATACTAGAAGGCTCAGGACAAGAGAAAATAGAGAAAACAAAGGATAGGAAATCAATAGCAAAACAGTTCAATTTTTTTTTCTAGAACAGAAAGGGGCCGCCCAGTGCCAGAATAATGCATGAAAAGCAAGGCCCATGATTTTCATAATTCAGAATGCTGTGAATTAGAGAGAGTGCTAGAAGCTTCTGGAAATAAAAAGAAACAGAACTTCACCAAGAAGCAGAAAGTAGAATGACAAAAGACTTCTTAACAGCACTAAGAGATAGAAGGCACTTAAAAATGCCTCCGAAATTCTGAAGAAATATTATTTTTCACCCAAAACAAACAAAATATTAACTAAGTGTGGAGAGAAAATACTTTTTAAACGTGCAAGGGCAAAGTCTCAGTTCCCCTCCCTCTCTCTCCCTCTCTCTCGCTCTCTTTTAACCTCTCACACACTCTTTCCCAGGAAGCCTCCTGGAGTGTGCCCTCCACCAAAAACAAGTGAACTATCAAAGCAGATCCCATGAAACAGAGAAGACTGGGGACCTGACCCAGCGGGGAACAAGAGGATCTTGCACGAGGAGGTGAAGGAAAGTGACTGGACGACAGCTGCATTCCAGGCGCAGACAGCAACCCATCCAGATTGGAACAGCGTGACTCAAGAGCCAGGCATGTTGAGGGTTGTCATCATCATGCCCCCTGCCTTATACCATCTTAAATAAATATGAAAATATTTGACAAACAAACTTAAAAGCTTTGGAAGAGTCTGGGTGTCTGGCCAGAACCTTTGGGCTAAAGCTGACATTCTTAAAGCTGTAGCTTATGCTGGCAAGGCTAAGGAATTCACTTCACTTTATAATGTGTGTTTCCCAAAGGGTGGTAAATGGTCTCATGGCCAAGCTCTGGGGGAGAGCGGGAACGGTGATGGAGGGAAGGGGCACCATTCTCTCTCATTCTTTACTGCCTTTAAGAGTCCCCTTTAAGAGCTTGGATTCTAGCTCAAAGACAAGCTGTCCCTTTAGAGGAATCATGCATAAGCCCAAGCTTAACCTGGGAGGGAAGTGGCATTTCAGCTTTTCTCTTGGGTCTTATTCTCCTCCACCATGAGATTAGGCCATTGAACTTCAAACAAACCGTATCCCCATTTCCTTTCCTCATAAACAGTGCTCCAGAGGAGCTGGACAGGACCCAGTCTGGGCCTCCTGGACTCTCAGCCAGCTGGGCAGGTCTCGTGCGATTTGTGCTCCTGAAGATGTCAGCTCCCCAGACCTAGACATGCAGGTCTAGGCAGGACACTGAGCAAGGACACTTGCTTTATTTCTGTCCCAAATCAAGGTGGGAGGGGCTCAGCAACGCACGTCTTCATTCCCTGGGTAGCTGGATGGTCTGTCTCCCTTAGGGTCTCCATGTCAGTGGGCTCACTCAGAGCCATGACTGTTCCTCTGAAGCCCACTGGGCTGTCACTCAGCTCAGCAGAGGGGCCCCTTTTAGGGTGGGTGGAATGCAATCCTTCCATTAGTAGGATGAGGTGGGGGACGAATGTACTCCGGAGTCCTCCACCAGGGTGACCTCATGGCCTTCTTTGGGAATTTAGTGTCACCCCCAGGAACATAAGGGGATCCCAACTGCGGGATGCCAGGGAGAGATGAGGATCGGGGGATGGGGTATCTTTAGAAATGCCTGTAGTCTAGACTTCTCTGTGACTGTGCCATCTTTTTGAAGGATTGGAAATGAAAGTGTCAAAATAAGAAAGTAAACTTAGAAAGAGAAAGACAGAAGATCCAGGAAGTAGTGACTCCAACCATAGAGAAACACAGCGGGATTCCAAGGACGAAAGCACAGGGAAGTTCCAGGAAGACGCCTCAGGCACAACAGGCCAGGCAGAGGGAGAATACAGTTCTAAAGGCAGGAAGTTTCCCCCCAAAAAGGAATAAATTGATTATCTGCTGTGATTATCCTGTGGAAAAGTACATTGAGAGGCTATTAGAAAGGGTGAGAAAAGTTAGCAATAGGGTTTAAGAATATAATTTTTAAGGATTTATTTATCCAGAGAGAGGGGAAGGTAGGGGGTAAGGGAGTGAAAGATGGATGCTTCTAGAGAAACATAGATTGGTTGCCTCTTGCACACACCCCAACCAAGGACCAGGCCCGCAACCCAGGCATGTGCCCTGACCGGGAATCAAACCAGACCTTTCACTTTATGAGACAACGCCCAACCAGCTGAGCCATGCCAGCCAGGGCAGGTTAAAGAATATTAAGCGAATTTAAAAAGCAAGGCAAATATTAATTTGTAGAAAAAGTACAAAAGGAAATCCTAACATGGTACAATGCTCAGCTGTAAGTAATATTTACATAATCATAACAACTGGAACAGTGAATATGAAATTAATAAAACTTGAAGGCAATGATTTGGGGGGAGGAGAAAGGGGAAACAGAGGGAACAATGGTGCAAGTGAGCAAAATTCTCATCTATCATAATAGGAAGCCTATAGATAATGTCCAAATTGATAACTCAAGAAAGAGCAGTATATTACTCCTTTTATATTACATTGTATTGCTGGATTTGATGTGCTAATAATAATTTTGCTATGGATTTTTACACCTGTGTTCATGAAGGATATTTGTCTTTCACTTTCTTTTCTTGAAATGCCCTCATCTGGTTTTGGTATTAAGGGTACAGTGGCCTCATAAAATGATTTGGGAAATGTTTCTTCCTCCTATATTTTCTGAAGGAGTATGTGTAGGATTGCTATTATGTCTTCCTCATATGTTTGATGGAATTCATTCTTCAAATATTTTAATAATAAAAACCAATAGCATAAGTATAACTCTACAGCATTGGTGGTAAGGGTAAATTGGTTTAGTCTGGCCAACCCTACAACCCAATAATCCCTTTTTGAGAACTTCTAAGGGAAAAGTACAAAGGAAGAACCTTCAATTGTAGGGAAAGTTTGATAGCAGAAATGTTTATCAGACCAGACACTCAAAGTGGCCTACATATCAACAATGGAGGAGTGGTTGGATAGTAATGTGACTACATGTATAATCTTGTAGTTATTAATAACAGATCTAAAGATTATATTGCAACATACATAGAAATGCATGTGAAAGACTGTTAAGTGAACAGCAGAACTGAAAGAGAAAAGGGTCATCTCATCACAGCAACTCGAAGAATGTGGCATTTTGTTTGGAAAACAGCCAGCACGTTGACTGCTTTTACAATGGACTTCAGGCTTGCAGATACAGATGCTTAATTGTGTCAACACACCAAGACAGTATCCATTTCAAAGGGGCAGGTAAACGTTAAACAAATGTAACAGCCTGGTATATAAAACCAGAATGCCAATTTATTAATCCTTGTTCAAATCCTGAGTACCAACTTATGCTCTCTTTGCAGGCAATTCCATAACAAAAGTCAAGTTATAATCAGATGGTGTTTGGTGAGTAAAAAATTGGGATAAGGGAGAGTAGCTATTTGTCTGGTTACTGTCATTAGGCTATAAGAGCTTAAGTGTACCCATTTCCAAATACCGAGGGTCTTGTCATTATATAAAACATGCAATCAGTCAAATCAAAGAATATCTTTAAGATTGCTCTCCAGGCACCCTGGCCGGGTAGCTCAGTTGGTTAGAGCATTAACCTGATATGCCAAGGTTATGTATGGGTTCGATCCCTGGTCAAGACACATGCAAGAATCAACCAATGAATATATCGGTAGATAGAATAACAAACTGATGTTTCTCTCTCTCTCTCTTTCACTCAATAAAAAATGTTTTTTAAAGATAGCTATCACAAAGGAGGTCATATTTGAGCTATATCTGAAGGACAAGCAAGGCTTTGATAAGCAGAGTAGTGACGGTAGAGCAACCCAGCACATCCTGAAACCTGGAGTGCAAAGGATTTCCATGGGGTGGGAAACTGGTGGGAACGGGGTGACCCTGCAGAGTGACTATAGTGATCACAGGGCATTCTTGCAGTAAGAGTGCAAACCTAAGGATGACCCAGCCTGGCACCGGGCAGGGAAAATACCAGCATTAGCACATTATCCTTTGTTGATAGTATCTAACAGATCAAATATGAAACTAAACAAGAACCGTTCTAGGATATTAGATCATCAATTCATAGCATTATAGAGCTGGACATTCTCTTAAACTTCACCTGGTACTAAACTCTCATTTTTCCAGGTGGGGACACCTGTAGACAACCTGCCAAAGGTCACACAGATGATGGTGACCCACTTTTACTGGAATGTACTTACAAATGACCCACCTCCATAGGACAACATGTTTTATTTTCTAGAACATATTAAACATATTTTAGCCAGTGGAGTTTTAAAAAATCAGCTTTCAAAACTATGCTCTGACCAGAAGCCTCAGTTGGTTGGAACCTTGTCCTGGACGCCAAAAGGCTGCAGGTTTGGTTCCCAATCAGGGCACATGCCTAGGCTGGGGGTTCGATCCCAGGTTGGGGCACATATACCAGGCAACAGATTGATGTTTCTCTTCCCCTCTCCCTCCCCACCCCTGATATCAACAAACATATCCTTCGGTGAGGATAAAAAGAAAACAAATTCAAATCACTCCTTGTCCTCTTTTTTTTTCGTCTTCTCAAGCTATATGCCAAAAAAGAACTGACTCCCTATTGCTCTAAACCCCCCACTAAACAGTGTTCCAAAGTGACTCAATCTAACATGATTAATCAAACTCCCTGCAACACTTTCTTGTGCCACAAAGCCATGTGTAACTTAACACTAGTAAGTGTCATGAAGTAGCACTGCCAAGCTGTCAAAAGAGCAAATATCAGCATACTAAACATTTTCTCCCTTGAACACATAATTTCTCTGTATCAATGACTTTCTGAAAAAAGGTGTCTGTTCTCTTGGCTTTCTCTGGTTGTGTAAATTAACATGAAAAAGCCTATGCCATGGTCAAACTACAAGCCACTTTAATCACTTTTGCCCAGAGGTCATGGTAGATAATATATAACCACCACTACATCTCAGAGCAAGCTCTTTGCCAAGGCTTGAAAGCATTATTAAAAGAGTCTCAGCCTCCAGCCACTGAGTATGAATGTGACCAGGATGGGGTGTCATTCCACAAATCTGATCTACAATGCACTATACATATTGTCCCTAGCCAAAGTTGGGCTCCCAGAAGCAGAGCAAAAGGAGTAGATGGAATGTCCTTTCTTGCTTAAATTCTCTTAAAACTCCTCACTGTTCAACCCAAAGGCCACCTCCTCTAAGGATTCTCCCTCGACTGACCTGCTTTGAATCATATATCCCAGGGCCTGCTAATCATTCTACCCTCTCCTTCTGGTCACAGTGATTAGCCCCAGGGATAGTTGCATCACCTAAACTGGACCAATGAGAGTCTTCCACGGGACTTTATATGCAGATGCTACCTTCTTCTAGAACTTCTTTTCTTCTAGGATAGCTACATTGGTTGATAAATGTCTGTGGCCATACTACCATATTTTTTTCCTTCCTTACTCTTTGCATCCCTATCACATACACAAACACACAACACGCATCCCTTAAAATTCACCTTATAAAGGAGACTCATCTGCAAGGCAGAGAAGCCAACACAAAGAAGGGTTGTGAGAGAGCAGCCACCACCTGTTGCACTCCACCTTAAGACATTCCTCACAGGAATGTGTGGGAGCCAAAATCCAGCCTGCATTCTGCTCACCTTGGCAAGGGGCTACCTCAGCCAGAGGAAGGGATCCCCCCTTTTTCCCAAAGACTCTGTCTGCTCACTAAGCCTTTTTCTAAGGCACATGGAAGAGGACACATATATCAGAGAGATGTGATAATATCAGTGAAGCCTTTAAAGTCACCCCCAAGTCATCTTAGTTACAGCCACCAACACATTCCTTTTTCACCCATACTTGCTTCAGCTGTGTTTTTGTCACTTGTAACCAAAGAAGTCCTGACCAAGACAGCAGAATGGACACCCAAATTGCTTTGGGTGAAGCCACATGTTCATTTTAGCTGTGAACCTCCTGTTAGCCATTGTCTTTGGAACCTTCCTTTCAATCTCCAAGTCCTTACACTTACCTAGTCAGAATAGTAAATATCCTTCCTTTTCTTTCTTAGAGACTCAGATAGCTTCAATGAAAAGATAACATACCAAAGAAATCAAGTTCAACCTAATAATGCTGCTGTTGCAATCTTCATGAAAATGATTAGCTATGACCTCTTTCCTAGCATGTCTGGTATCTGCTCTGTCAACCCCAGCAGCAGAGTGTGCTGTCCAAACACTGGCTGCTTTGTCTAATCTGAAAATGGGTCATTGCTAATTCTCCCTCACAAAGCCTGGTGCATTTCATGGTGTTGTGTTTGTAAAGCATGGATCACTCACCCTCTTCGGTATTTGTCCAGTTCGTGGAGAACCGTGTGGTCGCAGTACTCAAACACCAGATGAAGCCTCCGCTTCCTCCGGAAGACTTCAATGAGGTTGACAAGGTTGGGATGCTTGAGTTGCTAAAAACATAAAAAACAAGGTGCTAAATGTGAGCTGTGACAGACAGCTCTCTCTAGTTGTGGTCCAATAAAAAGAAAATTGTTTGTCCTTTAAGAAGTGTTTCGTCTTGGTTGAAATAGCCTGTAAACAGTATTACCTTACTTCTCCTTGTGAGCTGTTTGTTAGCAGCTTGTGAGTGAAAAGTGATTATAACCCAGGTGGTTGGTGAAGGCAAAGAAAGATATGAGAAGGCTAGAAAAGAAAGGAGAATGAAAAGCAGGGAAAGATTTTTAGTTAATACAAACTCATCTTTTAAGGCTCAGATGAAACGTCCCCTCCTAAGGAGGTCTCCCCAGATCTCCTCAGACTGCTTCAATGCCCCTGTATGACTGATGACTCCCCTGAAGTGTGTGTCCTTCAGAATTGTTTGTATTTAGCAAGTAATTTCAAAGTAGGAATTACTCAGTTGATTGTTTAACGTCCTCTGCTATCAACGGATATAACAGATACAATCAATAGAAGGTAAGAACCATGATATCAGGGTCTGTGTTCTCGTTTATTCAAAATGATGTCGTACCCCTAGTATGGGGCCTCGCAAATAGCAGGCACTCAACAATTATTTGTGAATAAAAAAGTAAATCGCATTTCCTAGGTTGATGAAACATTTTAAAATAGGGAAATGAGGAAGATTCTTCAATCTGATGTGCCTGAAGGTGTGTATCTAGAGCACGGACCAGAGTAGAGGCAAGAGAGATGGCAAGAAAGGCCCTGTTCAGAGATATTTTGTTGTTAGAATAGTGGTGATGGATGGAGGGGAGGGAGGAGAGACGGGAGGCATCAAGAATGACCAAAGGTGCCCTGGCCGGGCACAAGGAAGCTCTGAGGAACTGCAGGGACCCAACTGCTAAGACTTTAATCAGTGGTGCTTTTGAATGAGGTGCAGTTGGCTTATGCAACAGCAGTGGCACATGAGTAACATGGGGCAATGGTAATTACGGGGATTATTGAATGAGCTGGCTTTTGTTAACACCTTTAGGTCATTGTGAAAAGAAAAGAGGAAATCATAGATAGGTTTCGGTTAGCTGCCCATCAACTGTGGGAGTCAGAAGGCCACTACGGCACTATTTAAAGAGACATTTATCTCCTGTAGACACAGGATAGCCTGTGCTAAAATCAGGCTCAGAACTTAATTTTTTTTTAAAGATTTTATTTATTTTTAGAGAGAGGGGAAGGAAGGGAGAAAGAGAGGGAGAGAAACATCAATGTCTGATTGCCTCTCATGGGCCCCCTACTGGGGACATGGCCTGCAACCCAGGCACATGCCCTGACTGGGAATCTAACCAGCAACCATTTAGTACATAGGCCAACACTCAATCCACTGAGCTACAATGGCCAGGTCAAGACTTAATTTTTAAGAGTAGCAGAGATACCCCTGGCCAGTGTGGCTCAGTTGGTTGGAGCATCATCCTGTAATTTGAAGGGTCTCAGGTTCCATTTCTGTTCAAGGCTTGCCTAGGTTGTGGGTTCAGTCCCTGGTCAGGGTACATACAGAAGGCAACCGATCAATCATGTGTCTCTCCCTCTCTCCCCTCCTTCCCCTCTCTCTAAAATCAATGGGCATGTCCTTGACTGAGGATTAAAAAAAAAAAAAAAAGAGTAGCAGAGATACAAAAAAGATGATGTACAGCCTCAACAGGTCCCTTATGCCAAAATCAGGACTCTGATAAGAAGAGAAAGGGACCCAGAGGTCTGGGATAGGGACATTTAGGGGTATGAGCTGAGAATCTTAAACCCTCAAACTTCTTTGAATGCTCTGGGCTGGGAGAAGCTGTGTCTGCCCCTTTGCCAAAGGTGAAATGCTTCCTCTCACACAAAGACCTGAAAATAACTCAGTGGAGCAAGTGCCTCCTGACTCGATCTAACTTCTGTCCAGCCCAACCTAGGACGAGGCTGTAACAGTGCCTGAGCAAGGCAATATGGTTCTTGCTCCAGGAGGAAATAACTGTCCTCAAAGAATTACAAGACCTGGCTCATACGTACTAGCAGGAATCTTGAGGGTGTTGGGCCATGGCAGTGGAGAAACACAAGGCTGGACAGGGGGAAATTCATTGGTGTGGCAGTGCTGTCCCACGACTTGGGACTTAATTCCTGACAAAGACACCTGATAAGTCCCTAAGAGAGACTGAGCACCCTACCATGGGACATTAGGTGATTCTGTGACCCAGAGCTGCCCCTGTGCACTGGGTCATAGAGACACACTGTCATAAGGCTGCAAGGATGCACTAGTAGTCCATCAGACTATTGAAGCAGACATTTGTGATCAGGCTCAAGAAGGTCCAGGAGTGACAAGCAAGTTACACAAAGAGGTGGTCTATTCTTCCTTGTCATCCACTTTGTTGCACAGTCATCCTTCCTTCAACTGGCATGTAGGTAGGGTTCTGTGGGAGTTTCCCGTAACAGAGGAAAAGAATCCTAAGCTCAGCTCACAGACGGATCAGCTCATTATGTTGGCACTAGTTGAAAATGGTCTGTCACCATACTATAGCCCCACCTGGCAGAGGCCTTGAAGGACAACAATGGAAGGTAACCATCCCACTGAGCAGAGCATCAAGCAGTGCTCTTGTATGAGAAAGAAAGGACCTGAGACAAGGATGGACCTATGGGTAGTGGCAAATAGTTTGTCTTGTTGATTTAAGTCTGGAAGGAGCAAAATTGAAAGAGCACTTGGAGAAGAGGCATAAAATGTATTTGTGGGAGTGGGCACAGCGCTTGAGGATCCTTGGGCCTCCTATTAATGCCTATCAGAGGACAGCTACTGCAGAGGAAGCACTGACCAATCAGACAGAGGGTATCTTTTCTGGTGGGTGTCAGCCGGCTCTGTCCTTGGCCGGCACCCCAGTGCTTGTGTAACTGATCCATGAAGAGGGTGGCCACAGTTGCAGGGATGGTGGTGATGCATGGCCCAATAACACCAGTTCCCTCTCTCCAAGGCTGACCTGGCTGCTGCTGCTTCTGAGCACCTAACCTGCCAGTAGCAAAATCTGATACTTAAGCACCGATATACACCGTCCTTCAAGGAGACCAGCAACCAACGACTAGCTGCTATGTGGAAGGGGTTGTGATTTGTCCTTACTGACACTGATACTAACTCAAGATACAGGATTTGCCTTTCCTGCCTGCCCCGCAATGAAGGGCTTGGAAAACATCTGCTTTACCAGCATGGGAATCCATGCATCAGACAAAGGGACCTCTTTACAGCAAAGGAAGCATGACAATTAGCATATGGCTATAGGATCCATTGGTTCTATAATAAACCTCATCACCTACAGCCAGCCAGCCTGAGGGAATGAGAGAATCTCTACCCTAGCCCTTCGAGGACACATGTATTGAACCAGCAGCCATAATGTAGTGTTGAGTCTTTATTTCAGTAGCTAATATGTGGGTCTGGGAACCAGGAGTGGAAGTAGGACTGGACTCTCTGGTCATCCTTCCCAATGATCCATTTGTAGAAATCATACTTCCTATTCCCAGTATTCTCCCAAATTTTCAGAGCTTTATATATACATTATTAGCCCTTGGAAAATAGGTGAATAGTTAAATCAACTATAGGACTTTATAGTACATTCAAATGGTAAAATAGTATGCAGCTGTTAAAAACGAAGGCAGCCCTGACTGGTGTGGGTTAGTTGGTTGGGTGCTGTTGGGAACCGCCCTGACTGGTATCAGAAGCTGAAACCCCCACCTAGGCTAAGGCTAAGGGAATGCCCTTGGAACCATAAGCCAGCAAGGAGACAAAAGCTTATCTCCATGGCAGGAATGCTGCTTCTGCTGCTTTATTCATAACTGAACCCAAAAAGCTTGATCGGTTAGTCAAAGACGGGTAAGATTCCCCAAGGGGGGAACGACCTAAGACAGGCACGATCACTTTGGGAGGCCCCCCAAAAGAAGGACTTTGGGGGCTGCAGCAAAAGGGGGTGATGGACCCTCGTGCCTTGGCTTTGACATAGCCTGAGTTCTCATCCTCTGGGAGAAAAACTCCTTATCTCTTGGTTGCCTTAGTTCCCTTGCTCCACCTAAGCCTGAAACAATGACAGGGTGGTACAGCTCTGTGCTGAAAAGGGCGGATTCCCCGGGTGATCAGGCCTAAGAAAGAATATGTAAACTCCTGTGAAACCTGCTTTGTTTAGAATGCTCTCAGTTGAATGAGAAGGGTCTTAGGAGGAAGTTAGTTTGTTCCTCAAAGTCTTACAGCTTAATGAGTACTGTACTTTACCTGAATTATTATGCAAAACGAGCCCAATAAAAGCAGGTATGGAAGGTAAATCGGCGCGCTCCCCACTAGGCGGGGTGGCCATTTTGTCCCTACTTCCCCACAGAAACTAGTCTGTCTCTGTGCATGTTTTTTCTCGCGTGTTTTTCGACGAGCCATCCACAGCGTTCCATGATCACTGCTGGCCGGTGACCCACACAACAGGGTGCTAACCCGCAAAGCAACAGGTCGCCTGGTTTGACTTCTGGTCAGGGCATATGCCTGGGTTGTGGGTTCAATCCCCAGTCAGGACACATGTAAGAGGCAACTGATAGGTGTTTCTTTCAAGTCTCTCCCTCTCTTTCCCCCCTCCCTCCCTTCCCCTGTCTCTAAAAATAAGTAAACAGAATCTTTAAAAAAATGCATGTCTATGTGTGCTCACTTGGAAAGATGTCCAAAACATAAGGTTAAATGTAAAAAGAAAATTATAGAATAATATATTCAATATGATAGCATTTGCAGCTATTTTTAAGAAGGAAATATATATCCTTGTACAAAACAGAATCCGCTAGAGTAATATACAAGAAACTTGTGGAGGGATGAGAATGGAGAGTGAAGGCCAAGGTAGGTTTCCTTTTTCACTTCACATTTTTCTGTACCTTCAGTTTTTTTCTTAACATAAGCATATATTACTTTCTCATACAAATATCTTTTAAATGATGTGCATAGGTCTTTTCACTATATTGTAAAAGAAAGATAGATATTTTAAAA